AGGGAAAAGGGCGGCCTATAAATGTTAATAAAACTCTAAACCTCTAAACCTCTAATAAATATGTTGTATTTTTATGAAAAAGATAACATTATGTAATTAAATGGCTAGTATTTATGCATAGTAATCAACATCCTGTTTGTTACTGAAATGACATCATATTAAGAAGCAAATTGTTGTCTTAATACTTGGAGAAATTTCACTTGTGGTGTCTTGAATTGCAGAGGATATGTGTAAATACCTGCCATATAGTTTGGGATCCACCACATTTAACCCATTTTAATATGTACCCTATCAGCATGTTTGCCAGATCTCTTCCCTCTCTCTTCCCCCAATTTTTAGTTGGACAGGACTGGACAAGTTAAAATACATAGGTGGTGAATTGATATCCGTTGTATAGATCTGTAGAGATTTTTTTCACTTAGAACTGTGGGGGATTGTGTTATGGACATTTAAGACACAATAATTTATGATTCTAACCAAATTATTTTAGTAGGCTGTACTATATTTATAAAAATTATAAATTGCTTTTAAAGGTAATTCATTTTAATTGGAAATAACCTCTGTTCACTTTGGGATTGTTCCTCGGGAGAAAGGAAATATATTATGCATTATACATGTTAATTGTATGTGGGATTTAATCCTGCTTTTTCTTTATGAGTTTATATCAATAATATAATGTGTAGCTTGGCTCTAAGGTAATTTAACTGCAGTGGTACTATGTTGCTTTTGATTGCCTTAGTCCGAGATAGCCATTCAAAGTTCATTTTCTTCCTCTTGCTCTTGATTTTCTTAATCACACTAACTGCTGTGAATGCTATCTTGTCTTCTAACAAATCTTCCTCTTCAAGCAGTTTCTAAAACAAAGTATGCTTCTCAGTGTTGTATCTTGTTCTTATTTAACATTAGTGTTGTTTTCCTATTTTGTATATATTAATGGTGGTTTTGTTTTGCTTTCTGCGAAAACAGAAGCACTTTGTGCATAATCTGTTCAGAATGCTGATGCCACAATAACTTGTGTTGTTGGTTGCTTTGACTACAGCAGCTTCAGTCCACAGAGAGTAGGTTAATGAGAATAAAACAACACTCAACAAAAATGAATAATATGCTACCCCGTAACCACCTAACATCGAAGTTTTAGTTGTAAACAATAAGGGCCAGTTACTATACTAATAAGATGTCCTTGGAGGTAAGAATGCACTATGGGAGTCCTGTGGATTTTACTCCACTAGTCGTTGCCAACTATAGGGAATGATGCTCATTTTCCATTTCAAGGCTATCGAGCTGTCCAAAGATATTACTGCGGTCATGTGGCCAGCATGACAGCATAGAATACTGTTACCTTCCCACCAAAGTGGTACCTATTTATCTACTTGCATTTGCATGCTTTTGAACTGCTAGGTTGGCAGGAGCTGAGGCTGGGACAGGAGTCCACCCCGTCGTGTGGTGCTCAGATCTCAAACTTGGGCTGCTGGCTTTCCAGCTGACAAGCCCAGTCTCTTAATTGCTAGCTACCATGTTGCCCCAATGATGCACTATACAAAACATATTTTTGAGTATTGTTACTCTAGAACAAGATGGTTTTCCAAAACATTGTCTTGGCTGTAAAGACAAGTCACTGTACGAACAACAATCAAATAACTACTACTACAACTACTTTTTCTTCTTGTTCCATATCCATCATCGGACATTGGCAATCATGTTGGTGATCCTATTTTTATCAACAACTGCACAAAAAAGTGCTGTTAAGTTTTGTCCAAACCAGTCGCTTAGATTTTTAAGCTATGGTGTACTTTTTCTGCCTGTATCTCATTTGCCTTCAATCTTTCCTTGGAGTATTAACTAAAGTATGCCGTATTTTTCTGGGTGTCTCATCACACATCACAAGAAACTACACAGAAGAAAAATATTTTCTTTCTGTAGTTGTCTCTATGGAATTTCCTATTTTGTTCAGAACAGCCCAAAGATGTACACAGAGTGGGGTTTTTTATGGGGCATCGGTGGCAGCAAGGGAGAGGAGAGAATACAAACCTTTCCATTCTTGAACATCTGAACTACAGTTGCCACTGTCCATGCTACTATGTCAAAGGCAAGTAACAAGTAAGACCAATATCTTAGAAATTCCTTTGCTTTCTTTCACACCTCAGATAATATACTCAGACATATACACATAATCCTTGACTTACAACCATAGTGACTGTTTAGTGATTAGTGTTTAGTGTTTAGTGACTGTTTGGGGTCACAATGGCAGTGGAAAAAGTGACTTATGACCATTTTTCACACTTTTGACCATTGTAGCAGCCAATCCCATGGTCACATGATCAAAATTTGGCTGTTTGCAACTGGCTCGTATTTATGATGGTTGTGGCATCCCAGACTCATGTGATCACCTTTTGTGGCCTCCTGACAAACAAAGTCAATGGGGAAGCCACATTAACTTAACAGCCTTGTTACTAACCTAACAACTTCAGTGATTTACTTAAGAACTGTAGCAATAAAGGTCGCAAAAGGACAACATTCACTAAAAAAGTATCTTACTTAGCAACAGAAATTTTGTGCTCAGCTGTGGTTCTAAGTTGAGGGTTATTTATATATCATATCAATGATAAAAGGACAGAGAAATAGAACAGAAACTTGACAAGTCCACAACACAATGCCAGGGATCAAAGGACTAACCTTCACAGAACTGTCTTCTGGAATCAATCTTCCAAATAAAAATGGCCTATAATATGGTGCAAAAGGGACACGGTGGCTCAGTGGCTAAGACACTGAGTCTGTCAATCAGAATGGTTGGCAGTTTGAATCCCTAGCACCATGCAACAGAGGGAGCTCCCATTACTTTATCCCAGCTTCTGCCAACCTAGCAGTTTGAAAGCATGTAAAAATGCAAGTAGAAAAATAGGAACCACCTTTGGTGGGAAGGTAACAGCATTTCATGTGCCTTCGGTGTTTAGTCATGCGTCCACATGATCACGGAGACGTCTTCGGACAGCGCTGGCTCTTCGGCTTTGAACGGAGATGAGCATTCCCCCCTAAAGTCAGGAATAACTAGCACAAATGTGCAAGGGGAACTTTACCTATAATATGATGCCACCTAATAATGGTTGGTGCTATCTGAAGCCACTGAGATATCCAAGAAAAACATAATTACATTCTTCCATCCTTCTCCTGGAATAAGTCATCCATTAGGTTAAGTTGTAATTTTAAAGACACATATCTTACTTACCAGAATTGAGTAGGATGATAGATTTAAGGCATACAAATTCTTCCCCCTGGACATTTGTGCTACGAAAACGAGAAGAAGTGGCCAGCAGCATGTCAAATATTTCTACCATGCCTTCAACGCATTTTCCTTGATTCCTGTAACAACAAATAAGACTCTTAAGTGCTATGTGTGTGCATGAGTGTTCAACAAAGAGAGCTGAAACAGTCATGTGCCATTTGTCCAAGTCAGGAGTCTCCAAACTTGACAACTTTAAGACTTGTGGACTTCAACTACCAGAATTCCTCAGTCAGCCCAGCTCATTCATAACCATTCCCATGCTAACATTTGAATTTAGATACAGATGTTGGGTAAGGTAAATACT